CACATGATGGAAGCAGCACCCTCAGCCTAGCACGCACATCATGACAGCCTCGGCTGGAAGTAGGTAGGGGGGGGGTGCTGCTCAGCTTTCCAAACAACACCATGCACACACTCACACACAGGGAGCAGAGTGGCTGGAGCACTCTTGCAGTTGCAGTCGTGGCCAAGCGCTGGAAGGCACATGTGGCAAATAAAATGTGTTGTTGCGCATTTTTGCTCACGCTTTCACCCCCCACGCTTTGGGCAAGGAACCCCCGCCCTTGCAGCTGCTTTGTTGTTGAGCACTAATATGGAGCGGAAGCTCCTATATTGTCATACCCTAAAAGGCTCATTGTAAAAAAAGCTTTTAAAAGTCTTGTAAGCCTCCTTATCAGAAGCGTGGAATGTTTTTTTTGTGTGTGTGGCCGTGGGTGGCTGTGGCCGTGGCCGTGGCGGTTGCTGGGTGGCCATGGCCGTGCTGGGTGGCCTTGGCCGTGGCCGTGGCGGTTGTCGGGTGGCCGTGCCGTGGCCGTGGCCGTGCGTGGCGGTTGCTGCGTGGCCGTGGCCATGGCCGTGGCCGTGGCGGTTGCTGCAGCCGTGGCCGTGGCGGTCACGGCCGTGCCGGGTGGCCTTGGCCGTGGCCATGGCGGTTGCTGGGTGGCCGTGCCGGGTGGCCGTGACCGTGGCCGTGGCCGTGGCGGTTTGTGTCCATGGCTGTGCCGGGTGGCCTTGGCCATGGCGGTTGCTGCGTGGCCGTGGCCGTGGCCGTGGTTGTGGCCGTGTGGCCGTGACTGGAGCTGTGGGGCGGGGGCAGGACAGGCCGCGGGGTCCCGTGGTCGTGGCGGTTGCTGGGTTGCCGTGGCGGTGGCCGTGCCTGTGGCCGGGTGCAGGGTGGGCGTGGCCGGGCAGCAGTGGCCGGGTGGCCGTGTCCGGGGGGTTGCGGGCAGTGGGGCAGTTTCACGAGGTTCACTTACGGGGGTGCAGCGAAAACACGTGCTAGAACTTGGGCTCCAGGCACCACTGTACCAATACTGCAAAGAACACACATTCACGCACGCACGCGCGCGCACAAGTACAGTCGCAGGGGCACGCACGCACACGAACGCCCGCACGCATGAAGCTAAAACTTGGGCTCCAGCCACTACTGAACGAATACTTCAGACACAAATCGAAAAAGGAGATTAGTTTTGAACAGCATACATACATACGTACGTACATGCATACATTACATTACATGACATTACACTGCATGTAATGCATGACATTTCAGTACATTACATTACAGTACATTACATTACATAACATACAAACACACATACATATATACATACGTTACATACATACATACATGCAAACATACATACATACATACTTACATACATACACACATACATACATACATACATACATACATACATACATACACACGTACATACATACATACATACATACATACATACTTTCACACATGACACACAGAACATTCACACATACATACACACATACATACAAACAAACAGACATAGGAAAACATAGCACAACATACATACATACATGTTACATACGTACAGACATAGATAGATTAATACATACATACATGAATACATACATACACACGTACATACATACATTAATGCATACATACATACATACATACATACATACATTACACACATGCATTTCACTACCTACATGACATGACAGTACATTGCAGTACGTTACACACGAACATACAGAACGTACTTACACACACATACATACATACCTACGTACATACATACATACATACATACACACATACATACATTACATTACATTACGTTACAGTACAGTACGCTACAGTACATTACATGACGTTATATACAGATTATATACATACATAAAAACTTACATACACACATACATACATGCATACATACATACATACATTACACTACACTACATTACACTACATTACATTTGAGTGCGATACATGCATGCATACGTACATACCTACATAGCAATACACACATACAATACAAAACAATACAGTAAGTACATACATACAAACATACATGCATACATTACTTGAAATTACATCACATTACAATACGTGCAATATATGCATACATAAATACACACATGCATGAACCTATGTAGCATACCATAGCACAACATAGCACAACATAGCATAACATAGCATAACATACATACGTACAGTAACTACAATACATACACACATGCATGCGTCGATACATGCATGCACACATACATACAATACTTACACACTGACGTACAATACATACAGCGCACACACGCATTACAATACATCACAGCACATCACATTAGCACAGTACATTACACTGCGTTACGTTACGTTACGATACATTACATCACATTGCATTTCATTACATACATGCAGAGACAGACATGCATTACACTATGTTATGATGTATTACATTACATCTTATTCCATTTCATTACATACATACACACAGACATACTCACACTACCTTGTGATATGTACTAGTACAATTTCTAACAGCACAGCGCAGTACATTACATTACACGCATACGCAAACAAACAAACACACATTACCTTACATTGCATTGCAGTGCATTAACTTTCTTTACATTGTATTACATTACATTAATTTCATTTCACACATGAAATACATTGCATACACTACATACATGTCATACATGACATGCGTTACACATACATAACATAAAACTGCATAACATACATGAAACACATTGCGCTGCAATACGCTACACACTACATTGCATTACTCACAATGCAACAGAATGCAATACAGCACAACACAGTCCATATGTGAGTTCCAGTCATACATACATTACATACATACATTACATACATACATTGCATACATAATCACACATACCTACATACATACATAGCTACAAACATACATACATTAGTTCCTAAATTGCGTTACATTGCATACATTACATTTACTTGCAGTACACCACATTACATACATACATACATACATACATGCATGCATGCATGCATGCATACATGCCTTCATTACACACGTGCATGCATTACATTACATTACATTACTTTACTTTACATTACATCACAGTACAGTACATTACATTGCATTGCATTGCATTACATACACAAAGACGTACATATACATCCCAACACTGAGACATGGAAAATGTTAGCAAGCCGCAAGCCAACATATTTCCTTTTTTTCAATTGTAGCACTTGCAACTCGATTAATTAATGCTATTGCCATCACTACTATGTTTGAAAGCACTTGTAACTTATCATCGAATCATACACATTCACTCTTTTATACATAGCCATCACTGACAATTTTCCTAGGGAACGCTATTTGCCCTAAGACCAGTGGAATCCCGCCTGGCCGTGTGGCCGCGGCTGTGGCTGGGTGGCCAGCTGGTGGTCGTGGCCATGGCCATGGCCGTGGCCGGCTGGCCGTGGCCGGCTGGCGGTCGGCTGGCCATGGTGGTTGCCTGGCCGTGGCCCGTGGCCGGCTGGCCGTGGCTGTGGCTGTGGCCGGCTGGCCGTGGCCGTGGCCGTGGCCGTGGCCAGGGCCGTGGCCGTGGCCGGCTGGCCGGAAGCACAAAAAAGCTATAGTGTCAGTGGGCGGGGGGCCGCACCCGGCGGCGGGGGCGCCCGCCGCGGAAGCGCGGCGGGGCGCGGCGGGGCGCCGCGGGTCTGCGGCGGGGTGTTTTGCTTTCATTTTTCCTTAGCGGCCGGCCGCCGGCGGCGGCCGTTCCTGGCGGGAGGCTGCGGAATCCCTCGGTCTGTTTTTAATTTAGATAACATTGTAAGTGGTGGTAATGCCGCCGCGTCGGTCCGCGCTGGGGGCGCCGCCCGCCCTCGGGCAACCTCGCTGCTTCGGTCGCGAGGCTTCCCGAGGCCTCGCGTAGAGAAATCCCACGCAAGGCGCGGGCGGCGCTCCATGGGCCGGCGCTAAAGACTTTTTGCTTCGCATCTTTCGGCGACATTGGCGCTTTCTGGTACGGGCAAGAGATGTTGCGGGTCGATACAAAAAGGGATGTTTCCAACGTTGTTTCCCGGGCTTGCTTGCTCGTGCGCGCCAGGACTCGTGGCTGACGGGGATCCGTGGCGGCGGGCAGCGGGAGAACCTTGCCTGGCCGGCTATCAGGCTCGGCTCGTCCCTCGTTCGCTCGCGGTCTGTCACCTCTTGCTTTGCGCCGTGCGCGGAAAGGGGGGGAACACCCGTTCAAGTGCACCCGCACCGCACTGTATCCCTGCCAGCCAAATGGTAAGAACATCCTCTCGAGCGCACCCGCTCAGCACTGTATCCATGCCAGCGAAATGGTAAGAACTCCCGCTCGAGTGCACCAGCTCAGCGCTGTATCCATGCCAGCCAAATGGCAAGAACACCGTTCACGTGCACCCGCACAGCGCTGTATCCCTGTCAGCCAAGTGGTAAGAACACCCGTTCAAGTGCACAAGTGCACCTGCGCAGCACTCTATCCATGCCAGCCAAATGGGATAGAACACCGTTCAAGGGCACCCTCACAGCACTGTATCCATGCCAGCGAAATGGTAAGAACTCCCGCTTGAGTGCACCAGCTCAGCGCTGTATCCATGCCAGCCAAATGGCAAGAACACCGTTCACGTGCACCTGCACAGCGCTGTATCCCTGTCAGCCAAATTGCAAGAACACCCGTTCAAGTGCACCTGCGCAGCACTCTATCCATGCCAGCCAAATGGGGTAGAACACCGTTCAAGGGCACCCTCACAGCACTGTATCCCTGCCAAAGAACACCCGTTCAAGCGGAGGCAGAAAAATCTTCAACGTCCCAAATGAGTTCCCGTGGCCCTTGTTCCAGCAGTGGAAAGCAAGGCTTTTGAAGAGGACACAAATGAGTTCCCTTTCGGACGTTGCACGCATGATTGTGCTTTGGTGAAAAGTTGTGAGTATCAATATCAAAACGCAATTGCGCACTTTTCTCACCAATTTCTTGGCCACGCCCCCCCCTCCCTAAAACACACAAAGTACATCCCTCCCGCGCCTCTGTTGCCCTTAGGCCTGCGACGCCCAGCTTCACCTCTTGCGGCACCTGCTGATGTATGCTGACGGACTTCAACGTGCTGCTCCTCTGTGGGAAGATTGCCTGAGTGGTCCGGTGGGTTTCCATGGCCAAAGCGGGCGTGTCTGGAAACCCTGCTGAAAAACGTGGAAACAAAAACGAAACCACAACTTTGAAGGACTACATCTATGGGTGGTAAATCCCAAGCAATGAATGACACCTGATGAAACTTTGCATGAGCCACCTAGGAAATGTGGGTAGAGGCATTTTGGGAAATATGGGTGGATGCGCTTGTTTGAAGAGATCTTTTTTTCCGAGGGTTTTCTGCAAGGCTGGCAACATCCAGCATCACCAGGTGAAGGGCTGACATCCAGGCTGCTGTTGGGCAGGTTCAGGGGTGTGCTGCTAGTTTTAAGGATGTTGTTAAGTGAGTTTTCGTGGTTTGGGGGACGTTCACAACATGGGCAGGAAAACCGAGGCGAACAAGAAAGACAAGGCCCTGAGAAACTAGAACGGGTACTTTCGCGGAAGACATCTTCTTCTCTCTTTTCTTGTTTATTTGTGTGAATGTCATTTGCCTCTTTGCTAATGATCTTGTCTGAATCTTCAGAAGTTGCCCTTGCACAGAGTTTTATTGGGGGGGGGGGGGGGGCGGGCCACAAGGACCAATTTGCAATTTTTAATCCCTTCCCCCTAAATTGGTCCCCCTGGCCACACCAAACTGCGAGTGGAAAAACACGAAACTTGTGATTTCTAGCAACTATTGAAGAGTGTTTTGGGGGCTGCCTGCCATCACCAAGCACTCCTTGCAATTACACCAGCAGAGACCCCAAACAGTTGAGGGCTGACGGGCGAGCACAAACATGCCAACAGCTTGTGGCTTTCTGCGCTTCAACACGGATGAATCAAAATGATGCAGTCGTGAACCTGGCGCGCGTTGCGTTGCTGCACGTGTGTTGCTGGCGTGCTTCGCGCTTCAGCACCGCGCCAGAACTGAGGTTGGGCAAGCGCGCGCGATGGCGGGCGAGCGCGCGCGCGTGAACGCAAGTGTGGCCGCGCAAGCACGCAGTCACATGGGCAGTTCAAACACACATGTCCAATTCAGACACACATGTGTGTACACGTGGAACACACATACGTATACGACTGAAACAGTATACATTCACCTGCGGCACACGCATAAATGTGTTGAGCTGGAAAACAAACATGTGCTTCTTGGAAAGCACACACACACATGTGCAAACGTGGAACGCACATATGTGTTCACTTACGACACGCTAATGCGTTCACGTGGAACACACATGTGTGTTCACTTGGAACACAATGAAACGCGTGTCCAATTCAGACACACATGTGTGTACACGTGGAACACACATGCGTTCACCTGGAACACAAAGACGCGCAATTAAAGCACACATGTGTGTACGCGTGGGACACACATATGTATACCACTGGAACACAAACATGTGTCCACCTGGAACACCGCGTGTGCGATTAAAGCACACATGTGTGTACATGTGGAACACACATATGCGCACACGTGAGCAAACATAAATGCTCACCTAAATCGCACACACATGCGCGCACCTCGAAAACAATCATGCGTTTTCTGGAGCGCATACATGTGCACACCTGGAGAGCAAATATGTCGTCAGATGCCAAAAAAAGTTCACCTAGCACATACTAATGTGTTCACGTGAAACACACATCTGTTCACCTGGAACACAAACACGTGTCCAATTGGAACACACATGTGCGTACACGTGGAACACACATATGTGCACACGTGAACACGCATATGTGCACACGTGAACACTCACATATATGTGCACCCGGAACACACACCCGTGTGCTCATCTGATAACAACCATGTGTTCTCCTGGAACACAAACACGTGTCCAATTGGAACACGCATGTGTGTACACGTGAACACACATATGTGTACACGTGGGAGACGCAAATGCGCACACGTGAACACACACACATGTGCACACGTGGAACACACACATGTGTACTGCACATGTGAACACACACATTTATGCGCGCGCGGAAAACACAGACACACACGAGTGTTCATCTGATAACAAACACGTGGTCTCCTGGAACACAACCGTGTGTCTAATTGGAACACAACCGTGTGTACACGTGAACACACATATGTGTACACGTGAACACACACATATTTATATATATATATGCGCACCCGGACACACACACACACGTGCGTTCATCTGAAAACAAACATGTATTCACCTGAAACACAAACACGTGTCCAATTGGAACAAACATGTGTGGACACATGAACTCACAAATGTGTACATGTGGAACACACATATGTGTGCAAATGAACACACATACATGCGCACGCGGAGCAGACACACACACACACACACACGCGTTCATCTGATAACAAACATGTGTCCTCCTGGAACACAAACACGTGTCCAGTTGGAACGCACATGTGTGCACGCGCGAACACACAATGTGTGCCGTGAACACACATACAAAAAAGTGCACGCGGAGCAGACACACACACACGTGTTCATCTGATAACAAACATGTGTTCTCCTGGAACACAACCGTGTGTCTAATTGGAACACAGACGTGTGTACACGTGAACACACATATGTGTACACGTGAACACACACATATATACGCGCACCCGGAACACACACACACACACGAGTGTTCATCTGAAAACAAACATGTGTTCACCTGGAACACAAACACGTGTCCATTGGAACACACATGTGTGTACACGTGAACACACATATGTGTACACGTGGGAGACGCAAATGCGCACACGTGAACACACACATGTGCACACGTGCAACACACACATGTGTACTGCACATGTGAACACACACATTTATGCGCGCGCGGAAAACACAGACACACACGAGTGTTCATCTGATAACAAACACGTGTTCTCCTGGAACACAACCGTGTGTCTAATTGGAACACAGACGTGTGTACACGTGAACACACATATGTGTACACGTGAACACACACACATATATATGCGCACCCGGAACACACACACACACGTGCGTTCATCTGAAAACAAACATGTATTCACCTGAAACACAAACACGTGTCCAATTGGAACACACATGTGTGGACACGTGAACACACAAATGTGTGCACGTGGAACACACATATGTGTGCAAATGAACACACACACATGCGCATGCGGAGCAGACACACACACACACGTGTTCATCTGATAACAAACATGTGTCCTCCTGGAACACAAACACGTGTCCAGTTGGAACGCACATGTGCGCACGCGTGAACACACAATGTGTGCACGTGAACACACATACAAAAAAAGTGCACGCGGAGCAGACACACACGCACGTGTTCATCTGATAACAAACATGTGTTCTCCTGGAACACATACACGTGTCTGATAAGAACACACATGTGTGTACACGTGAACACACATATGTGTACACGTGCAACACGCATATGTGCGCACGTGAACGCACATATGTGTACATGTGGAACACACATATGTGCACACGCGAACACACACACACACATATATATATATATATATATGCGCGCCCGGAACACGCACACACACACATGCGTACACCTGGAACACATATGTGTGTATGTCTGGAAAGCACATTTCTGTTCACCTGCAACACACATATGTGTTCACCTGGAACCCATATATGCGCTCACTTGGAACAGGCATTTGTGTTCACGTGCGACACTGGTGCAGACCTGGATCACACAAGCATGTTTAACCAGAACAAACTTCTGTGTTGACTTGTAACACACATATGTGTACACATGGAACACACGTGTGTGCACATGTGGAGAAACATGTGCAACACAAATGTGCAACACACATGCGTTCACCTGGACAACAAAAATGTGTTCACATGGAATTTACATTTCCTGCACGCCTGGGCGACACATAAATCAAGTTCCCGAAGCCGGCTGTGAGGCGCTATTCCATGGGGCTCTGCCTTGAACAACGCTTGTGTTTTATATGCGTGTTCCAAGTAGGAAAATAGTGTTCGTGTACGATCAATCTAGCTTTTTTGCAACACATTGCTAGCGCGCGAGCCTGCTGCTGCTGCTGCTGCTACTACTGCTAGTACTATCAGTATCGGATGCGTCTCCAGCAGTTACAGGCTTCAGCTTAGCAAAAGCTTTCCGGCGCATTGCGCTTCTTTCTCGCTTAGCTGCACAGTGTCTTTCGTATCGATTGCTAAAGTGCTTTGATCGTATTGTGGCAACTCTTCGTATCGATTCAGTAAAGCATTTGCTTTCGCAGGGAAATACGCAACCCAATTCTTCCGTATGCTCGGTACAAGGCATCCCTGCCGTCTTGCCTCAGCCGTTGTTTCTCCCCTTTGTCCAGCAAATCGCACTCCATGATAATTGCATGCGAGGAGAGCGGAAGCAAATTTGGATTGAAGCGTAACTGGGAACCGGTCACAGCTGACCACTGCGCTAGCGCCTTGCTAGCGCGCGGCTAGCGCGGGTTCGCCGTATTTTTTGGAGTCACGGCGACCATCTGTGTGGATTTGACAAATTAAGGCCACGTAAGATGAAGGTAAACGTGCGGGCTGGCTTCAAGTACTAAGTAAGAACTGCAACATTACACCCTTGAAAGCCACGCAAAGCCCATCGCGGCAACCCACGCGCCAACTCTTGGAAACCAAGATCACCGAAGACCCTAGCGCAAACCAAGCGCCATCCTAGCGCCTCCAGTGGGGAGCGGGCAATCCATTGGTATTTGCAGGACTCCGCTTTGTGTGAATGAAAAACTGCACAAAGTGACTGCGACGGTGGCCTCTGTAGACTAAACCCCCTTACTAGGAATTTTGACCGGATCGCATATGTGTTTTATCAGAACAATCGCATGCTTTCACCTGGAACACAAACATGTGCTGACGTGGAACACACTCATGTGGTCACATGCAAAAAGTGCGTGTTCACTTGGAACGCGCCGATGTGGTCAGCTGGAACACACCAAGAACACACAATCATTTACTTGAAGCACTCGTACGTGCATCCGCAGCATGCTGCCTGTGGCTTGATCAAGCGCACGCGCGCGCTCAAACACACGTTTCTGAGCCTCAAACACACATGCGTGCCCGCGGAATACACCGCGAATGACCAGGGAGCCGTGCCAGGCATCCAGGCTGGGGGACAACAAGAAGGAGACAAAGGGAGACAAATGAACCCGTCCGCCCGGAGAGCCGTGCCAGACATCCAAGCTGGGAGACAAACGAATCCGTCCACCCAGAGAGCCGTGACAGGCATCCAGGCTGGGAGACAACCGGGGCCAAATAAAGGGAGACAAAGGGAGACACAAATGAATCTGTCAGGCAAATGAAGGGAGAGGAACCCGTCCGCCGGGAGAGCCGGGACAACCCCAGGTGCCAAGAGCACCACTGGGTATCTCGGCGTAGGTTCGTTGAACATCATCAAAGAATCGATAGACGATTTAACTCCAGCGTGATTCACGTTTGTTTCACCGGGGGGTTAACAGAGCCTTCTCGTAGCTGAAGCCGTGCACCGCAGCGCACCGCTCTCGTCAGCTCGGGACTCCAAATGCGAGCAAGGACAGAGAGAGGCCGCAACTGATAACGAGGCACTGAACGAACAGACAGGGTGTAGCCAACGATAGACAAGGAAGACGACCCACCACGAGCCCAAGCAAAATCGAAGTCCAGATGAAGGGCAGACAGAGGACCCTGTCCCCAACATCCACAAGACAAGGAATGACCGAAGCCAGGGCCGAAGCCGAAGGCAAACCAGACCCCGCCAAAAGGACAGAACCGCGGGAAGTGAAGGAAACCGCGGAGCGTGAGTGCCACACATCCAGGCTGGGAGACAACGGGAGACAAATGAATCCGTCCACCCAGAGGGGCATCCAGGCTGGGAGACAACGGGAGACAAACAAAGGGAGACAAAGGGAGACAAATGAATCCGTCCACCCAGAGAGGCATCCAGGCTGGGAGACAACGGGAGACAAATAAAGGGAGACAAAGGGAGACAAATCAATCCGTCCACCCACAGAGATGGGAGACAAATGAAGGGGAACCAAGGGAGACAAGTGAATCCGTCCGCCTGGAGAGCCGTGACAGACATCCAGGCTGGGAGACAACGGGAGCCAAATGAAGGGAGACAAAGGGAGACAAGTGAAACTGTCCACCCAAAGAGCCGTGCCAGGCATCCAGGCTGGGAGACAACGGGAGACAAATGAAGGGAGACAAAGGGAGACAAGTGAATCTGTCCGCCTGGAGAGCCGTGCCAGACATCCAGGCTGGGAGACAACGGGAGACAAATGAAGGGAAACAAAGCCCAGAGAGCCGTGCCAGACAAATGAAGGGAGACAAAGGGAGACAAATGAACCCGTCCACCCAGAGAGCCGTGCCAGGCATCCAGGCTGGGAGGCAACGGGAGACAAATGAAGGGAGACAAAGGGTGACAAATGAACCCGTCCACCCAGAGAGCCGTGCCAGGCATCCAGGCTGGGAGACAACGGGAGACAAATCAAGGGAGACAAAGGGAGACAAATGAACCCCTCCACCCTGGGGCCAAATAAAGGGAGACAAAGGGAGACAAATGAATCCGTCAGGCAAATGGAGGGAGAGGGAGACAAATGAACCCGTCCGCCGGGAGAGCCGGGACAACCCCAGGTGCCAAGAGCACCACTGGGTATCTCAGCGTAAGGTTCGTTGAACATCCTCGAAGAATCGATAGAGGATTTAACTCCAGCGTCAGCTCGGGACCGCAACTGATAACGAGGCACTGAACGAACAAACAGGGTGTAGCCAACGATAGACAAGGAAGACGACCCACCACGAGCCCAAGCGAAATCGAAGTCCAGATGAAGGGCAGACAGAGGAGGACCCTGTCCCCAACATCCACAAGACAAGGAATGACCGAAGCCAGGGCCAAAGCCGAAGGCAAACCAGACCCCGCCAAAAGGACAGAACCGCGGGAAGTGAAGGAAGCGGAGCGTGAGTGCCACACATCCAGGCTGGGAGACAACGGGAGACAAATGAATCCGTCCACCCAGCCGTGACAGACATCCAGGCTGGGAGACAACAGGAGCCAAATGAAGGGAGACAAAGGGAGAAAAGTGAATCTGTCCACCAAAAAAACAGTGCCAGGCATCCAGGCTGGGAGACAACGGGAGACAAATGAAGGGAAACAAAGGGGTGCCAGACATCCTGGGAGACAAAGGTAGACAAATGAACCCGTCCACCCAGAGAGCCGCGCCAGGCATCCAGGCTGGGAGACAACGGGAGACAAATGAAGGGAGACAAAGGGGAACCCGTCCACCCAGAGAGCCGTGCCAGGCATCCAGGCTGGGAGACAACGGGAGAAATCAAGGGAGACAAAGGGAGACAAATGAACCCGTCCACCCAGAGAGCCGTGCCAGGCATCCAGGCTGGGAGAGAACGGGAGACAAATGAAGGGGACAAAGGGAGACACATGAACCCGTCCACCCAGAGAGCCGTGCCAGATCCAGGCTGGGAGACAACGGGCGACAAATGAAGGGAGACAAAGGGAGACAAGTGAATCTGTCCACCCAGGCATCCAGGCTGGGAGACAACGGGAGACAAATGAAGGGAGACAAAGGGAGACAAATGAACCCGAGCCGCGCCAGGCATCCAGGCTGGGAGACAAATGAAGGGAGACAAAGGGAGACAAATGAACCCGTCCACCCAGAGAGCCGTGCCAGGCATCCAGGCTGGGAGACAACGGGAGACAAATGACAAAGGGAGACAAATGAACCCGTCCACCCAGACTGGATCATCCAGGCTGGGAGACAACGGGAGACAAATGAAGGGAGACAAAGGGAGACAAGTGAACCCAGCAAGACAAACGAACGCGTCCACCCAGAGAGCCGTGCCAGGCATCCAGGCGGGGAGACAACGGGAGACAAATGAAGGGAGACACAGGGAGACAAATGAACCCGTCCACCCAGAGAGCTGTGCCAGGCATCCAGGCTAGGGCTTGGCAACAGGCGAGCCACCTTAAATGAATTTAGAACCCCTCACAGTAAACTGTTTGGGGAAAAAGGACTGGACGCCCCACCAGGTTTGGGACCCTCTTTATTTGCTTTTGGTTGGGAGAAGGACGCCGCCAAGCAAAAAGGGAAAGAAGATACCAAGGAATGAGCCCAGTTTACCATCTCGATATAATTTGCCCGAGTTGGTACCTGGAACTCAGTTGCCCCAGCGGACCCTTGGTGTTGACAGTGCTAAACCACTTTTTGGCACCAACAAAAACAGAAAAGGGTACCGCTGATGAGTCTGTCGCCAAGCATCTGGCCGCTCTTCAATCCACACCGACCTGGTGATGGACTCTGCAGCTGCGGCCTGGAGATAAACCTGGCTGGGCTGCACTAAATGCCAGCAGGATGAACACAAATGCTTCACTGCGAATGGTTTGTTCATTTGATGTTTCATTCGTGCGCTTTCTTACTTTCTGGCTTTCTTGCTTGATTGGTTGTTCGCTTGTTTGTTTGATTGGTTGTTCGATGGGTTGTTTGTTTCTTTGTTGGTTTAATTGCTTGTCTGCTTGCTTGATTGTTTCGCTTGTTTCTTTGCTGGTTGTTCGCACGCTGGGTTCTTTGAAATCTATTTGTTTTCACTACTTGCTTGTTCCTTTCTTGGTTTGTACATTTGACTGTTTCATGTGTTGTTCCTTTGTGTGTTTGCATGTTTGCTTTTTTTGTTGGTTGGTGAGGGAGGTCACTTACGCAGCAGATTTTGGGTCACTTGCGCACCCCAACCAGCGGGAGTAGGGGGGCATGGGAGGGCGGAGTGGGTAGGGGAACCGCTTCAGCGCTGCGCGACACCCGCTCACGCAAGCGCCTGCCAAATAATCACGCCCGCTCAAGCGCGCCCGCTCAGCACTGCACGCATGCCTGCCGAATGGACTGCCCGCTCCACACGTTTGCCAAATGGTCAGCAAACCCGCGCGCGCCCGCTCAGTGCCAAATGGTAACACACTCGCTAGCATGCCTTTGGTGAACATCAGACTTCAGGATCAAAATGATGCGCTTACGTGCGCCAACCAAGGCCCCGGCCCAGCCCCGCCCGAGGGCCGGAGCCGCCCGAAGCTTCAGCAACAAAAGCCAGAGCGCTTCCGCGTTGCCGACCTCCGCTCCCCGCAGACGATTTCGCACGCCGCCACAGCGATAGCAATTCCACGTGCACATTCTCCGCAAACACGAGCGATCTCCGCACAGGGTTTACCGAAGCCAAGACAACGTCCAGAGGCGGGCCATGAGCCGGGTGCACAAGAGACACAAAATTCGGGTGCACAAGCCAGCCCTTTTGCGGATGGTTTTTGTTGCGTATTTGCCTGCTTGTTTGTTTGTGTGTTTGCTTGTTTGCTTGTTGGTTTGTTTGCTGGTTTTGTGGTTTCTTTGTTTGGCTATTTCTTTGTTTGTTTATTTGTGTTTGTTTTGTTGGTTGCTTGTTCATTTGTGTCTTTGCCTGTGTTGATGCTGGTGAGTTAGTTCATGGTTGTTCGTATGTTGTTTGTGTTGTTTGTTGGCCTATCCATCGTGTCTTTCTCTGTTTGTTCTGCCATATTACATTGGGTCTTTGTCCGTTTGCTACTCTGTCAGTGTGTTTGATATCTTGTCTGTTTGCTTCCTTGTTTGCTTCCTTGTTTGCTTGCTTCGTTGCTTCCTTGCTTGCTTTGCTTACTTGCTTGCTAAGTTGCTTGCTTGGGATTTTGAAAACAGAAGCTTGCTTAGGAACTTGCTTGCTTGCTTGATTGATTCCTCTGTTGCCTGCTCAGCGCTTAGCAGCTTGCTTGGTTAATTCCTTGCTTGCTTGCCTGCCTGCCTGCTTTGTTGTCTGCTTGCCTGTCTCTCTGTCTGGTGGTCTCTTGCGGTCTCTGCCTGTCTGTCTGTCTGTCTGTCTGTCTGTCTGTCTGTCTGTCTGTCTGTCTGTCTGTCTGTCTGTCTGTCTGTCTGTCTGTCCTGTCTGTCGTGTCTGTCGTGTCTGTCCTGTCTGTCCTGTCTGTCCGTTCGTCCCCGTCCGTCCGCATCCGTCCGTCCGTCCGTCTGTCTCTGGTGTTGTTGCTTGTTTTGGTGTGTATGCGCTTTAGCTCGGTTGATCGCTTGTTTCTGTGTTTTGCTGTTGGCCAATTGATCCTGGTTATTGTTTGTAGCCAGCTCCTTTGTGTGTTTGTTTGCTTGTTTGTTCGTGCGGTATTCAGTTGGCATCCACCAAAAAGGGTGATTTGACTGTGATTTGACTGAGGTCAACCCCCAACCGCAATTTTCGGAACCTCACCCCAAAAGCCTGTCCCTTCCCCAACCTACAAAATTGGTCTCAGTCTTGTCCGCCTGCTTGTGGCTGGCGTCCAGTTGCACCGCGAAGCGGGGGCCCCAGGAGTCGAAGCGCAACTCCTCTGCGGAGGCCAGGCTCAGTTGCCTCGGCTCGTTTGGAGAAAATCCGCCGATTTGTTTTGCGGGCTCCTTGGGAAAGCCGAGGCCCTGAGGCCCTGAGGCGTCTGGCTTCCTACTCGCGTGGCCCATGTGCATCTATTTCTGGCTTGGCAAGAGGCGGTGAGCGTGAGCTTGGGCTGGTTTTTCTGGGTTGGGGCAACGCCCTACCAATCCCAAACCAGCACAAGACTGGCATAACCAAACTCAAAGCAACCCTACTGCTTAATCAGCCGCGCACCCAACAGCAGCTTGCGTACCAGCCAGACCCCTTCTTAAGATCCTAACCCAACAAAACCAACAACCCAAGCAGTGCTAAGCCCCAACCAGGGCTACGAAAACAAAACTGGTTCCTTCCCTTGAAAACTTGAATACCAGCAGCATGCTCAAAAACAAACAGCCCCATATCCGCCGACCCCTTTCTCCAAAGGGGAGGCGCATGGGAAGGGCTTGTCTTTGTCCTTGTCTTAGTGATGATTATCATCACCACTGATGTTGCGTGATGGTTCACAGCATCCGGATCATCATCATTTCCGTACCGTTAGACCTGACGGGAGATGCAGAGGATGCGTCGTGATAAGATGAACATGAAGATGAAAATGATGATGATGAACATGATGAACATGATGATGAAAGTGATGATGGTGGTGTTCTTCTTCATCATGTTCATGTTCATCATCATGCTCCTCATCATGTTCATCATCGCTCGTCTTTTTCATATACGTTTCAGGTGTGCAGCCAGACCCGACTGGAAATGCAGAGGATGCGTTGTGTTGATTGTCATGATAACTGCTGGTGATGCGGAGGATGCGTAGTGATGATTATCATCAGGATGATGAAGATGATGATGAACATGATGAGGAACATGATGATCCTGATGATAATCATCACTACGCATCCTCAGCATCACCCGCAGTTAACGTCATTCCCCAGCAACGCATCATCTGCATTTCCAGTCGGGTCTTGCAGCACATTTGAAATGTACATGAAAAAAAGGAAGAGCGCCACAGAACATGATGATGATGAACATGATGATGAAAATGATGATGGTGATGCACATGATGATGATAAGGAACACCACATGTTCATCATCGTTCATGTTCATCATCATGTTCATCAACATCATCATCATCATCATCATCATCATGTTCATCCTCATGTTCATCATCATCATCATCATTTTCATCAATGAAAATGATGATGGATGATGATCATGATGAACATGTTGAAAGTGATGATGGTGGTGTTCTTCTTCTTCATCATCGTCAACATTATTTTCATCATCATGTTCATCGGCATCATCATGTTCATCATTTGCATCATCATGTTCCTTCATCGCTCTTGTTTTTCATTTACGTTTCAAGTGTGCCATTAGACCCGACTGGAAAATCAGAGGATGCGTTGTGTTGATTGTCATGATAACTGCTGGTGATGTTGAGGATGCGTAGTGATTATTATCATCAGCATGATGAACAGAACATTAAAAAATGATGATGAGGAACATGATGATGAACATGATGATGACGAACATGATGATGATGATCACAATGAACATGATGATGAAAGTGATGATGGTGGTGTTCTTCTTCATCATGTTCATGTTCATCATCATGCTCCTCATCATGTTCATCATCGCTCGTCTTTTTCATGTACGTTTCAGGTGTGCAGTTAGACCCGACTGGAAATGCAGAGGATGCGTTGTGTTCTGGTGATGCGTAGTGATGATTATCATCAGGATGATGAAGATGATGATGAACATGATGAGGAACATGATGATCCTGATGATAATCATCACTACGCATCCTCAGCATCACCCGCAGTTAACGTCATCACTGTGCATCCCCAGCAACGCATCATCTGCATTTCCAGTCGTGTCTTGCAGCACACTTGAAATGTATCTGAAAAAAGAAGAGCGCCACGAATGATGATGAACATGATGATGGTGATGCACATGATGATGATAAGGAACCACCACCACTTCCACATCATAATCGTCCATGTTCATCATCGTTCATGTTCATCAACATCATCATCATGTTCAAACCTCATGTTCATCATCATCATTTTCATCAATGAAAATGATGATGGATGATGATCATGATGAACATGTTGAAAGTGATGATGGTGGTGTTCTTCTTCGTCATCGTCAACATTATTTTCATCATCATGTTCATCGTCATCATCATGTTCATCATTTGCATCATCATGTTCCTTCATCGCTCTTGTTTTTCATTTACGTTTCAAGTGTGCCGTTAGACCCAACTGGAAAATCAGAGGATGCGTTGTGTTGATTGTCATGATAACTGCTGGTGATGTTGAGGATGCGTAGTGATTATTATCATCAGCAAGATGAACAGAACATTAAAAAATGATGATGAGGAACATGATGATGATGATCACAATGAACATGATGATGAAAGTGATGATGGTGGTACATGTTCATCATCATGCTCCTCATCATGTTCATCATCGCTCGTCTTTTTCATATACGTTTCAGGTGTGCAGTTAGGCCTGACTGGAAATGCAAAGGATGCGTTGTGTTGATTGTCATGACAACTGCTGGTGATGCGGAGGATGCGTAGTGATGATTATCATCAGGATGATGAAAATGATGATGAACATGATGAGGAACATGATGATCCTGATGATAATCATCACTACGCATCGTAGATGAAAAAAGAAGAGCGCCACGAATGATGATGAAAATGATGAAGAACATGATGATGATGAACATGATGATGAAAATGATGATGGTGATGCACATGAAGATGATAAGGAACACCACCACCACTTCCACATCATAATCATCAGGATCATCATCATCATGTCCATGTTCATCATCGTTCATGTTCGTCATCATGTTCATCAACATCATCATCATCATCATCACCATCATCATGTTCATCCTCATGTTCATCATCATCATCATTTTCATCAATGAAAATGATGATGGATGATGATCATCATGAACATGTTGAAAGTGATGATGGTGGTGTTCTTCTTCGTCATCGTCAACATTATTTTCATCATCATGTTCATCGTCATCATCATGTTCATCATTTGCATCATCATGTTCCTTCATCGCTCTTGTTTTTCATTTACGTTTCAAGTGTGCCGTTAGACCCAACTGGAAAATCAGAGGATGCGTTGTGTTGATTGTCATGATAACTGCTGGTGATGTTGAGGATGCGTAGTGGTTATTATCATCAGCATGATGATGAACAGAACATTAAAAAATGATGATGAGGAACATGATGATGAACATGATGATGAGGAACATGATGATGATGATCACAATGAACATGATGATGAAAGTGATGATGGTGGTGTTCTTCTTCATCATGTTCATGTTCATCATCATCATCATCATCATCATTATTTTCATCTTCATCATCGTCATCATCATTTTCATCGCATCATCATTTGCATCATCATGTTCATCATGTTCATCATCGCTCTTTTTACATACGTTTTAAGTGTGCCGTTAGACCCGGCTGGAAATGCAGAGGATGCGATGTGTGATAACTTCTGGTGATGCTGAGGATGCGTAGTGATGAGTGTCATATGATGATGATGAGGATGAAAATGATGATCATGACGAACATGATGATGAACATGATGATGAAAATGATGATGCTGATGATGACGATCCTGGTGTTCATTACATACATACATACATTACATACATACATACATCACATACATTTACATACATTAATTACATACATACATACATACATGCATGCATACATACATACATACATTACATACATACATACATACATAAATACGTACATACATACATACATGAACACATACATACATGCATGCATGCATACATACAGTACATACATACATACTCTACACTACACTACACTACGCTACGCTACACTACACTACACACTACACTACACTACACTCTACACTACTCTACATTACATTACATTGCATTGCATTACATTGCATTGCATTACATTAGGTTACATTACATACATACATTCATACACCAGCATAGAAAGTTTCGAACTGCACCCAACATCACAAAACATGCACATAAACAAATACATATACATATTCATATACATACAGACGTAGGAACACAAGAAAGGCAAGCGATCAAAAAAGCGGGCGCACGGACAGGCACATAGGCAGGAGAGAAAAACAGAAATCAAAAAAGGCAAGCAGTCACACAGGAAAGTAAGCTAACAAACGGGCAGGCAGGCAGGCAGGCAGCTAGGACCTAGGAAGACAAAAGGCCAGCCGGCAAAAATAGGGGAGGGGTCGTGCCCGGAAGCACCGACAAACATCAGCAAAACGGGCCACAAAAGCGGCATCACAGACACAGGAATCCCTCATCCCCGCGTCTCCGCATCATCCAAACCGGCGCAAACGTGCAAAACCCAAAAAAAGAAAACAGCCCGAAGTAAGGCCGGAGCGGTACCTGGGAGCACCGTTCGGGTTGGACAAAACAGTGCATTGGGAAATGGGGTCTGAAATTCGCCACACGCTTCTAAGCCTCTAAGCCCCTTCAAGCACACAAGCCTGTAAGCCTCTAAGCCTCTAAGCCTCCAAGCCTCTAAGCTTCTAAGCCTTGCAGTCTTTTAGCCTCTAGGCCTGCACGCTCCTAAGCCTCTAAGCCTCTAAGCCTCCAAGCCTTCCAGCCTCCACACCCCTAAGCCTCTCCAGCCTCCACGCCCCTAAGCCTCTAAGTCTCTAAGCCTGCAAGCTTCTAAGCCTTCCAGCCTCCACGCCCCTAAGCCTCTAAGCCTCTAAGCCTCCAAGAGGCTTAGGCGCTTAGCGGCTTAGGCGCTGAGAGGCTTAGGCGCTTTGAGGCTTAGGCGCTTAGAGGCTTAGGCGCTTAGCGGCTCAGGCGCTTAGAGGCTCAGACGCTCAGAAGCTTCGGCGCTTTGCGGCTTAGGCGCGTAGAGGCTTCGGCACTTAGCAGCTTCGGCGCTTAGGGGCTTAGGCGCTTAGAGGCTTAGGCGCTTA